TGAAATAAATAAGGCACGAATACCTTGTGTGGAACAAGTTAAGGTTTTGGGTCTTATTTTGGATAATAGGTTGAATTTTGGCTGTCATGTTAAATTATTAAAAAATTCATATTCAAAGCTAAAATTACTTTATCTTAATCGTCATCTATTAACTACACACGCTAAATTAATATTATGTGACTTTCTTATATTATCAGTACTTAATCCCTATTGATATTGATATAGCAAAGCTTATACAGGGTGATTCAAAAAACCGCTGACAGACTTCTAGAGTAGATAATACATGAAAAATTAAGATGAATAGTCTTAATATACATCGGGTCGCAAATGCCTCCTTAACAAGATATAGCGGGTCAAAGTTTCTTTAAAATTAAACATTATCTGCAATAAAAAGCCCTTTTTTAAAAATATTTTCAACGCCACTGCTAATTTTGTCAAACGGGCAGTATTTTCGTATAAAGTGATCAATTATCTATCAATTGGTCTCTTACAAAACTTTGATTAACGCAATAGTTTTTGATTGGATTAACAAATTTTCTACAAACGTGTTTTTCTTAAAAACTATTGCTTTGATCAAAGTTGTGTAAGAGACCAATTGATAGATAATTGATGACTTTACACGCGTAGAGAGCAATGGCGTAGACAATATTTTAAAAAATGTGCTTTTTATTGCAGATAATGTTTAATTTTAAAGAAACTTTGACCCGCTATATCTCGTTAAGAAGGCATTTGCGACACCATGTATATTAAGACTTTTCATCTTCATTTTTGATGTATTACTTGCCCTAGAAGTCCGTCAGGGGTTTTCTGAATCACCCTGTATATAAAATATTTGAACCTCGCCTTGTGTTGTGCATAGAACCAGCTATGTCATTGCTCTCTTCACAGGAGAATCGGCATTGCGTAACCTTATGTTCTATAGACCTTGAGAAGGCTTAGGACTAAAGACCTTGGGAAGAATCTAGCAGATATAAAGGAATTAGCCAGGAACTGGAGGGAGTGGAAGAAGTGGATGGAGGAAATAAGGATCAGGAAAAGAAGAAGATAACTGAGTTCTTGAGGTTTCCTCAAAGTTTCATTTTTAAATCCTAATATTTTCTTCAAATTGACTTTTTTGGTTAGAAAATTGACAGCTTTTAGGTTAGGTTGAGGTTAACAACATAAATTGAATACAGACAGAAATATTCAAGCAAATACAGATTAATTCTTACTTTAAAATCTCTAAAAGCTTAATTTTAAACCTTCTTAACTACTTATAAATTATTCAAACACTATGCAACAAACATTTTTAACCTCCTTCATGGAATTACTCAAATAGGATGGATATCTAAATAAGAGTATTTGTTATAGTTGATTTTTTTATTACACTAATTTAACTTACTCTGAACTATAATCTTGCATTTCCACATGAACACTTTGCTCAGGACTAGGACACCGTTCCACCACCTTTAAAGGCTCTCGTAAACACAACGAAACCTCCTCATCATCTTCCCCCATGTCAAATTTATTCTTATCTATCTTTTTAATTCCATCCAAAATGTTTTTTGGTCCTTCATCAATTATTTCTTCAATTTTTAAACTATCCTCAATCTCTCGCAATTTATTTCTGGGTTGATTTTGATTTTGTGGGCGAAATGAGACCTCAAAACTCGTCATAACATCAATTGCAATCTTGGAAACAGGTCCTTTTTTGGGCTTTTTGTATAAATCATCATCATTTGTGTTTATTGGGGGTGGTTCGATTTGTTTTCGATTTTGATTTGATTCAAGCAAACAAGCTACTTGTTTTTGTAAAAGAAGTATTTGTTCATTTTGTTGTTGAATAACTTTTAATAAATCTCTGGTTGTTGGTTCATCATCTTTATCACTTTTTTCTACTTTTTCTGTTTTTTGAACTAATTCTTTACTATTTAAAGGATCGTCATAATAATTAAATCTATTTTCTTTGTAGGTTTGAAATCTTTTATAATCCCCATAAGATTTTTGTGCTTTTTCATCAAACTCATCATTGCATTTTAGTCCTTGTAAAAAACCATCTGATTGTTTATAATTAAAAATATCATAACAATTCTCTTTTTTATTCGGCACAGTTTCAATAACACTTAAATCTAAATTTCTATTTGGTAAATTAGACCTGTATAATTCTTCTAAAGTCTTAGTTTTAACTCCAGCAGTGAACCCATCTCTTGGACTTTCAAATCGGACGTGTTTCTCTTTATAAGGACTAAAATTTTCTTTATCAATACGATTTCGCGATGTCCACGCGGTGTACGAAGACAACGGGGGCGGTTGGGGGCGAAAAATTCGTTCTGTATTGGCTAATGGAGGTTGTAAAAGGGAAACTTCGGGAATAATCGGCGTGGTTAACTAAGTATTAAATAAATATTAAAATTAATTTAGAAACATCTTAAATACGAACCTTTTTGATATTAGTTGGTTTTGGTACAATTCTGGGTTGATCATAAAAAGAATCCATGGAAAAATCTTTAAAAAGCTGTGAGAAACGTTATTTTTGTTGACGTTTGTGTAAAAAACATAACCTTGAAAAATTTGAATGTATTACCAACTTAAATTTATTTTAATATATAAACACCATATTGTTTTTATATTTTAATATTAATTTATATCAAAATGCATAAAATGAAAGTAATCAACTTAATGAATAGATTAAATTAATCGAAAATAATTTAATTTATAATATATTACCAACTTAAATAGTTGTCAATTATTTGACGTTTCTCACTTAACCAAACTTTAAACAACAACGAAAAGTGCAAAATAAAATGTTAAATACTTTAAATCGTGTTTATAAGTGTACTATACGATTGAAATCAACGTGGAAACAACCGGAAGGTATTGAAACGGGTATAAAAATCTACAATTGTATAACAAAAGATAAAGTTCCATTAATTATATCGAAAAATAAGCCGTATTTAACATGGTACACTTGTGGGCCCACCGTTTACGACTCGGCCCATATAGGCCACGCCAGTTGTTACATTAAAATTGATATTATCCAAAGAATATTAAGAGATTATTTTAAATTTCGTCTAATCACCGTTATGAATATTACTGATATTGATGATAAAATCATTAATGAAAGCAAAACTTTAAATAGGTCTCCAATAGAAATTGCTAGACACTATGAAAAAGAATATTTAGAAGACTTGGATTTGTTAAAGATTCAAAAACCTGATATTGTGGTTAGGGTTACGGATAACATGCCAGTTATTGTTAAATTTATTAAGAAATTGGTGGAGGATAAATATGCTTATAAAGCTAAAGACGAATCATATTATTTTGATGTGGAGACTTTTAAGGAGTATGGAAAGTTGCAAAATATAGAACGCGGTGAAAATAGCATCGTCGAGAAAAGTGATATTAAAAAAAATCCGATGGATTTTGCTTTGTGGAAAGCGGCGAAAGCTGGAGAACCGTTTTGGGATAATTCATTGGGACCTGGACGACCTGGTTGGCATATTGAATGCTCTGCTTTAGCTGGGAATATTTTAGGGGATACCATCGATATACATGCAGGAGGTAAAACTTCCTTAACCCTTAGCTACACGCGCCGCGGCAAAGAGTACCGCTTTTTTTTTTAATTATGTCAAAACCGTTATTTCTTGAACTGTTTAGGTATTTTTTAAATAAGACACCTACTTAATGTACCACGGGGCATTAAAACGAAATAATAATAATAATAATAATAAAAACAGTGTACAGTTGTAGAATTTTGGACATTTATCTGCAAAGGTGTGTAACACTGTGATGCGCGATGCAATTGAGTTAACTCAGTACCAACTTTAAAATGAGTCAACTCAATTGCACCACTGCACATAAGAACAAATAACTAAATTACGACGACAAAAATAGATATACGTTTTATCTTTAAACTAATCACAAATACCTTCAAAATGTTCATTATTATCTAGTCAGACATGAACTGTAAAATTTTTTTTTATTAACATAACAGAATAGCCTACCCGTGTGCGCAAAGTTGGCTTATCTTTTGCACGGGGAATACCTTTAGTTACGCGTGAATTGTTGACAGAGTAATTACGTTCGTAATATTTTCCTAAATTTAAAATCGTTAGTTTTTTAATATGGATATTGAAGCGTCAGGTATGTACTTTCATCTGCCACTACTGTCAACTTAAAGCCGACGTTACACGACGTCGCAATCGACTACTATGGCGGTAACTACGGAGGGGCGTGGTTTGACTGCTAGCGTCAAATTGGCGTGTAAATCGTCAAATTTACGTGCTATACCGAAAGTAGAAAATTTTCTAGCCCTCGCAGTAGCTTTGCTCGCAGTCCATTACTATGGTAATAGACATGTTACACGCAAATTTTGACGGGAACAGTCAAACCACGCTCCTCCGTAGTTGCCGCCATAGCAGTCGACTGCTACGTGTAACGTCGGCTTAACAGTTGTTCGTAGTTTAGAGATGATGCACATTATATAACATTTATTATTTGCTTCAAAAAATTTTGAAATGTCAACTTTAGCTAGAGTTTTACAGGTGTCCCTCAAAAGTAGCTCACCCCCATATTTTTCTTTATTATTGGTGATATAAGAAAACCATTTGGAATGCATAGTTAGGTCGCTAAAACGGATTATTACGTTAAATCATTCTTTTTGTACTTCCGGTTATACCGGATGTGATTACTAATTTCGCTATTTTTTTAAATCTATAATTTTTTTTTCTTCAGTTGGGTTGATAGTATAATTTCACATGACTTTTAGTTGAAAAAATTTTCACGATCGCTTATAATTTTTGAATAAAAATTATTTTCGTTATTTTATAACGTTTTAGTACCTTCGGAAAATGTATTACAACTTTTGACGCATAGTAGCTAGGTTAATAGTATAAACCACGTTATGTCCCTCTTGATTTGCTATTTCTCGAGCAGTGATCACTACTATGCTTTAGTCAGTGGTTCTTTTTTAATAATGGTGTAAATTAACAGTTGTATTAAATTAGTTTTAAAAGGAAAACGCGATCAAACAATTAAGTTTAATTCAATTATTTTTGATTTTTTATTTTTTTCTTTTTTTTTTGTTCTTTTACACTAATTGTTCTGTAGCTGATAGTTACTTACAATGTCCATTGTACAGGGTGGGCAAATTTGGATGTTATTATAGGCTATCTCAGAAATTATAAGAGATACGAAAAAAGTAGGTGCCATGTCCCGGTCTCCTTTTTCGAGACTAACCCAATCCCGCAAACACCAAACCTCTATTTTCTTTTGTTTTTAAGTTATAGCCAAAAAGTCAAATTTTCGTGATTAAAAAAAATACTTATATTTCGTTTATTTTTGAAATTAGAGAAATGGGGTTGATACGTTCTTAAGACACTTTTTTAAGTAGAATATACTGCCGTTGAAAAATTTTAAAAATATTTGATGATTTTTGAGATACAACCCAAAGTTGTATTTTTTTAAATACAAACTATGGTAGACTATGGTGTTACTGAAAAGAGTATATTTTTAGCTTTCCAATGATGTATTACACGTATGGTCTATTAGGGGAAAATAAGCATTATTTTTTAATTCTAAAATATTAAAGATTAATATTCAAAATTTTAATTATGGTAGGCGAGGAAAACGTTAAATGCCACTTACAAGAGAAGTATCAGAACTGTCCCTCACCGATTTTGTTGAAATTTGGTACAGCGATAGTATGGCCAAAAATAAGGTTTACGTATTTTTTTATACGTGCTAATAAAGCCCCTGGGGCGAGTTAGAAGGGTTGGAAATCGGGGCGAAATATAATATATATTCACTTATAGGCTGAAAACGAAAATAGCTATGGAAATATGGTAAATGTAAACTAATATTCATTTTCAAAGAGCTTTCCATTGATATATCACACATATATCTGAGGGCTTCAGGGGTAAACTACCCTTAGTTTTTTGGAATATTTTGAAAACTACCCTGTCGATTTTGGCGATATTATGTATCCTTATAGTACGTTTAAAAATATTAATGACGTGTTTTTTCTTATTTGCCTCTGACCATCCCCTGCAAAGTTACGGGGTATGATAGATACCCCTTTCCTTAAGAATAATGTGATAAACTGTTACACTTTTGAACAATATTTTGAAGAAAACCATTAATTAGATATAAATTAAGATTTACGCAGTAAAATAAACCCTATACTACATTAAGGGGTGGCTGGGGGGGTTAACTACCCTAACCACCCCAAAAATAATTTATTTTTGCGAAAATTGTTTGTCGATTTTGGTGCAATTTACCACGATGATTTTTTTATACGTTAGGTAGTACTATTGTAAGACCTACAAGGGTTAGAAGTTTGCGGTAGAAAATATATTTTCGCTAATAACTTTCATACTCCTACAGAAAAAGCTTTTTTATCCTTATTCTATTTAAATAACACAAAAGTTAGGATAATTATATAAATATTTATTAATAATGAGTTAAAAAGCAACTGAAAAAAATGGTTAAGTATGGCAAATTGTATTCTACATTGTTAATTAAGTTTTTTTTAAATTTATTTTTATTTAAAAGGGGTTTTGGGGGTTAAAACCGTGGAATGCGTGGTCCAGTCAGTGTCATCGACAACACATAGCTACACAATTCAACCCATCATATCTGCAAATGAAAAGCTACTTTCTCCTCTTTTCATTGTTTTAAAAGAATCCTCTGGTACGTTTGCACCGAGGATAATAAATACAATGTTCAAAGCAGATAACATATTCGTTTTTGCATCAAAGTCTGGTAAACTGACTTCTGCTCATATGAACAATTGGCTACAAAATGTCTATTTCCCAAACACCGGAGCCAAATCACTACTATTACTGGATTCTTGGAGTGGCCACTGCCCTGAAATTATTAGTGAAGCAACTCCATCGGATGTTAAGTTTAAATATTTGTCTATACCCACAGGGACAACAGGTCAAATTCAACCCCTGGATGTATTTGGTTTTAGAATATGGAAAAATTTCATTAGAAAATTTTCTGATCAAGTTATTCTCTACCAGTACGGTGTCAATTTGCATCAGCAAGATAATATTTTACAATTGCAATCCTTAACGCTTAACCAGTTGTCTTCCCCACGATTTATTTATTTTTTTAAATACGACTAGTTTGCATCTGGATATGTAGAGGAGACACCAGAACGGGTTGAAAATCCCGTGGAGGTTTGCTTTTCCAATGAAAAACCTACGTGCGATATCTGTGGAGATATAGCTGTTATAACTTGTGCATGGTGTAAACAATCGTTGTGTTTAAAACATTTTTTCCATGATTTTCATTATTGCCAACAATATATTGAATAAACAAGTAAAAATAAAGAAATTAAATTAATAATGTAGAATACAATTTGTGATAGTCAACCATTCTTTTGTCAGTTACTTTATAACTCATTACTAATAAATATTTATATAATTATCCTAACTTTTGTGTTATTTAAATAGAATAAGGATAAAAAACATTTTTCTATAGGAGTATGAAAGTTATTAGCGAAAATATATTTTGTATAAATTGTACCAAAATTGACAAACAATTTTCGCAAAAAAATTTATTTTTGGGGTGGTTAGGGTAGTTAACCCCAGCCACCCCTTAATATCGTATATTGTTTATTTTTACTGCGTAAATCTTAATTTACAACAAATTTATGGTTTTCTTCAAAATATTGTTCAAAAGTGTTACAGTTTATCACATTATTCTTAAGGAAAGGGGTTATCTATCATACCCCGTAATTTTGCAGGGGATGGTCAGAGGCATATAAGAAAAAACACGTCATTAATATTTTTAAACGTACTATAAATACACATAATATTGCCAAAATCGACAGGGTAGTTTTTAAAATATTACAAAAAAGTAGGGGTAGTTTACCTCCTGAAGCCCTCAGATATATGTGTTATATATCAATGGAAAGCTCTTTGAAAATAAATATAAGTTTACATTTACCACATTTCGATAGCTATTTTCGTTTTCAGCCTATAAGCGAACATATATATTTCGCCCCGATTTCCAACCCTTATAACTCGCCCCAGGAGCTTTATTAGCACGTATAAAAAAATACGTAAACGTTATTTTTGTAAATGCTGTACGCTGTACCAAATTTCAACAAAATCGGTGGGGGACAGTTCTGATACTTCTCTTGTTAGTTACTATAGTAACGTAAGTTTACTGATCATTTCATTAATGAATTTTTCGAAACGAGTTTCCCGCTGAAAAATTCCTCATTATCTTTAAAGACATAAAGCGATAAAATTAAAAAATGATTCTTTGAAAATGATAGATAAGGCTCCATATACCATATAAACATCGCTTCAATGGAAAGTCCGCTGCCCAGTTTATGATCCCTAATCTTCCTCTATCTCACCCAATTTCAAAAGAAAAGGTTGCTAATATGAAAAAACTTCTAAATCTCCTGGTTGGGGAAAACAGGGACGATACTACCGAAGATTTCATTCATTGATACCCAACTGTTCTAACCTTACAACCAGTAAGTTTAGTAGAAGAAGATGACACAGTCTGTGACTGTTTAGTTCCTGAAGTTGTTGTTCATATTTAATTATTCATTAATTAATATGTTTCTTGTATTTTTAATAAACAAACTTTATCTACAAATCATTTTTAATTGGTGAACAAAGTAAGGGATAAGATACTGAGAAATTTAAATCAACTCTTCAAAGTTTTTATTCATTGGTACAAAACCAACTTTATCCTGCATAATGGTACAAGAGCAACTTTCTGTCATATTCGTGCAAAACTATATAGCAATTAGGTAGTAATTACTGTCCGAACCCGCCTACTATAATCAAAATTTTTAACTTTAGCGCTTACTATTTTGGAATTGAAAATTAACGCTTATTTTCCGCAAATACACCATACAGGCGATACATCATTGGAAAGCTAAAAATATGCTCTTTTCTTTAACATCATAATCAAGTATAGTTTGTATTTAAAAAAACACAACTTTGTGTTGTATCTCAAAAATCATCGAGTATATTTAAAACTCTTCAACGGCAGTATATTCCACTTAAAAAAGTGTCTTAAGAACGTATCAACCCCATTTCTCTAATTTCAAAAATAAATGAAATATGAGCATTTTTTGAAATCACGAAAATTTGACTTTTTGGCTAAAACTTAAAAACAAAAGAAGACTGAGGTTTGGTATTTGCGGGATGGGGTTAGTCTCGAAAAAAGAGACCGGGACATGACACCTACTTTTTTCGTATCTCTTATAGTTTCTGAGATAGCCTATAATAACACCCAAATTTGCCCACCCTGTACAGTGTACTGTATCTCAGTTATTATGAAAGATAGAAAGTTGCGGCTTGAGCTACTTTTTTGTGAAACTTACAATGGCGCAAACCAAATTTTCATAGCCCTCTTCGTTTTTGATATACGAGTGTTTCAAAATTTACGATTTTCAGACACCTTCTGTATGTCGGCTATCTGGAATCTTAAAAACGGGTTCTAATAGGTTTTTCACGTAGAATTCAATGCTGCACGTAGAATTTTTCTAGTCACCACGGTTTTTGAGTTATGAAGAGTTAAGTACAGTGAAATTCCCCTAACTCGAATCACCAAGGGAGCGCAAGAAAACTTCGAGTTATGGAAAATTCGAATTTAGTAGGATTTCAGCTCTAAAGAAAAAAATTAGAAATGTACTTTTCTAATACGTATATTTAAAATAGAAATCTTAAAATAATCGGTAATTTTCTTTTGCCTTAAAGCGGACAACCGCTCTTTGTCAAAAAAATCTTCTATGAAATGTAGAGAATTATGAATGTTATCTGGAACATTCTCTCTTGACAATATAAAGGTTTCAAGCTTTCTAAGAGAGGAATAAGCTTCATCAAATGTAGGCACAGCGATAAATACTTCATTTTCAAGATTATCATCACCCTCATCTGATTTTGAAACAATAAGAACATTAGGTCTGTTTTGGTTCAAGAGTCTGTAGTTTCTGAGCCTAAGTCTATGTGGTTTGATTATTGTAGTTCCGCACGGTTCTGAACTCTTCCGCGCATACATATTGTATAAAGACGTATGCGCAGAACAGTTCAGAACTAAAGCAAGCCTATTATTATTGGAACATTTGTAACAGATTATGCTACCTAAAAGTTATATACACATACCGTTTTTATCTGGAATTGAAGTTCTCATAACGCTGTCTAAAATCTTAGTCTGTTGGCACGTCCATTGTATGGATACCATCATCGATATTTATATATTCATCAAATGAATAGTGCATATCTACAGCGGTTTCATATAAAGACCATAAGCGCCTCATTTCAGATAAGGGATGAGGATCCTCTTCGTTCCAGTAATCTTCTTCCAGCATTTCGGCGTTTTTAACAATCTTTGCCTTTTTGAAGCAATTCGCTATTGTTCGTTATTTTATATCTACCTTTCATGTTTTGTTTAAGTCTTTAATTGCATCAAGTAATGTTATTGTTGTAGAAGTAACTGCATCCGTATTGGTTAACAATTTTATTAAAATTTGTTTTCTATACAACTGTTTAACATTTTGTATAATTCCTAAATCCATCGGTTGTAATGCAGAGGTCGTATTAGGGGGAAAGTATGTCAGTTTAATATGTTTCAATTTAGATTGTATAGTCCGTGGATGAGCAGGACAATTGTCGACAAACAGTAGAATACTCGAGAAAATTCTCCTGCGAAGCTTGTAATAAAGATATTATTAACAGGAGTAAATTCCCTGCTATACCCACGACGACTGCTGAGAAACCAAAGACGAGGATGGATTTTCTAGAGGCATTGTCTTTTAGCCTTCTTGAAAATCATCTAAAAGAAAAAGCTAAGATAGCCAACCTTCCACAGGATATAAAAAGTTTTCTGGCTAGATATCAAGATGCCCCAGAGGAGCAAGCGGTTCATGACCAAAGAAGACACGAATGCGAAAAACACAAAAATAACACAACAACCGTGCCGAGTGCACAAGGTTGTGTGCAAAAACCATTGTGAAAGATTTTCAAAATGTATTAACGATGCATTGTCTTAATTAAAAAAAAAAAAAATTATAAATTTGTTTCGCAATCGTTTTGTTTTACTAACTATTGATATTTTCCGATCATACGAATCATTTTTGGTATTAATATATCGCAGTAAACCGACGAAACGGTTAAAAATTCAAATGCGGTAGCAAGGTCTGAACATAGACGCGTGTAGCTAAGGGTTAATAAAAAAAATTCTAAAAGAAAGATTTAATTATTATTTTAGGTATCGATTTGCGATTCCCACACCATGAAAACGAAGAAACCCAATCTTGCGCATACTTTAATAAAGATCAGTGGGTTAACTATTGGTTCCACGTTGGCCACTTGCATTCACGAGGAAGCGAAAAAATGTCAAAATCCTTAAAAAACACAATAAGCATAAGAGACATGTTAAAAAAATCAACAGCCGCTAGTTTTCGAATGGCTTGTTTAATGACTCATTATCGTAATCATATGGAATTTAGTGACGAACTTCTTCAAACTGCCACCAGAAATCTGGTAACTATAAAAAACTTCATTGCAAATTGCACGATTTACTTAAAAGGAAATGTAAACGCGGTCATCGATAACAATCTTTTATTAAAAACGTTAGAAACGACTATGATTAACGTCGAAAATGGTTTGAAAGATGATTTTAATACTCCGATTGTCTTAAAATCTATTAATAACTTGATGTCTACCACAAATAAAATGTTGGGGGCGAATAATACGAATGGAGATCCAACCAATTTTTTAAGTCATTCTGTCTGTATTGTTGCCGTAATGAATTATTTGAAAGATTTATTTAGAAGTTTCGGGATCGATGTGTTGGAGGAAACGGGAACTGAGAGTATCGAGTATAACGAGGTGATTGATTTGTTGATTAAGTTTAGACAGGATGTACGTAGATTGGGATTGGCGGAAAATAACCAAAACACTTTGCAAATGTGCGATGACGTACGAGAAGAGTTAAGGAAAATAGGAATTTATGTTAAAGATTATGGGAAAATATCAAGTTGGTCGAGATAATGAGAAAAAAGTGAAATTGTTTATTAATTTTAAGATAAATGTTTAAAATTGCAATAATTATTGTATTAAATTGTCAATTTAGAAAATCTTTTTTGGGTTATTGCAATCCCATTTTATAATCCTAAAACGACATATATTTTAACTATTAACCCAGATATGCCTAGCGTCCTACATGTAGGACACACCAGGAACAAGTTGTAACACGATTTAGGTATTAGTAATTTTTCCTCACCACTCGCGTATATACCTTCACTAACAACTACACCGTCGTATGAGATCATCGTGGGTTTATAAATCGGTAAAAACGTCGTCACAGTGAAGTGTAAAGATACCATATACATCGATTATGGCTGCGAATGAGATTCAATTTGCAAAGTAAGTAGTTTTTTTATTATTGAGCAAAAATTAAAAATAATTTTTCTTATATTATTAAAAATATGTTCATCTATCGATGTGCAGTTGTTTGAATCGAAATGCTTTCCATAAATCTTAGTAAATCAAAATTGTTTTTTGATGTCCTATATGTAGTACGCCAGGAACATAGCATACAATTTATTTCAGAAATGTTTCACTCAATGAAGCACTTGCAATGCTTGAAGAGGACGAAGAAATGGTTGGACGAGTTGAGAATATTACCATGTTACCACCAATAAATGCGTGTGGTAATCTCACTGACGAAGATTCAGGTGAAGAAGATCAAATGTCAATAAATAATTTACCAGGTTCTCAATTGCAAGCAACTGTAGAATTGTTTGGTGATCATGTTAGTAGTTCGTATGATACTGATGATAATATCCCATTATCAGAGTTGGCCAGAAAATTTCAAAACAAGAAAAAAAATGTACAAAAAAAGGAAAACTTATCATTTTATAAAAAATGATTTACCACCAAGTTTTTGTGATGAATCGCAAGAAAACTTTTCTTCTGAAAACAAAACACCTCTTGAGTGGTCCTAGATTTTTTTGATAAAGATCTTATAAACCTAATAACAACTGAAACAAATAGATACGCTAAACAAAAGAATCGTTTTCAAGAAGTTCTGGAATCCGAAATAAAAGCTTTTCTTGGAGTTCTTATTATTAGTGGATACGTAATTACTCCACGACGAAGAATGTTTTGGGAACGTGATAGAGACGCTAACAATAGTCTGGTAACAGAATGTATCAGTAGAGATAAGTTTGAATTTATTTTATCAAACTTTCATTTGGCTGACAATTCCACGCTAGATCAACAAGACAAATCTGCAAAGGTTAGACCTCTTTTCGAGCATTTGAATAAAAAATTTATGGAAAAAGGAATTCGTACAAAAAACCATTCAGATGAAGCCATGGTTCCGTATTTCGGTCGTCACTCCTGTAAGCAGTTCATTTATGGCAAGCCAATAAGATATGGCTATAAACTCTGGGTTGGCGCCTCTAAAGAAGGGTATGTTTATTGGTTTGAGCCCTATCAAGGTTCAAAAACAAATATTAGCAAAGTATACTGTGACCTTGGAGTTGGCCCTAGCGTTGTACTAGAATATGCGGAAGTTCTAAAAAAGAAATGGCCTAATTTGGAGTTTCACCTAGTCTTTGATAATTTTTTTACGAACATACCACTTATTGAGAAGCTGTCTGAAAAAAAACTTATGGGGACCGGCACAGTTAGAGAAAATCGACTGCGAGGAATTGACTTACGAGATTCTAAACTTTTGAAGGAGGAAAAAAGAGGGAGCTATGATTACAGGAAAATTAGTGATCAAAATATAATAGCAGAATATTCAGGCACGTAGAAAATGTAACTGTTATAAAAATGTACCAATAATGATGTTTTTTTCTTAGATTGAACAACCTGCGACCGTAAAGAGTTATAATGAAAATATGGGCGGTGTTGATCGGTTTGATCAAAATATTGGTTTGTATCGTATTTCCATAAGAGGAAAAAAATGGTACTTTTCCCTTGTTTGTCATTGTATTGACATGTCAATTCAAAATGCTTGGCAACTGTATCGAAATAATGGAGGAGAAATGAATCAGCTACAATTTAGACGACGAATCGCTAATGTTTTATTGTTGAAAAATAAAAAACCGTTCCCGTCTTCAAGTAGAGGTCGTCCATCTCAACAAGAAAATATAGATATTCGAAATGACCGTTTAGATCATTTGGTTACGCCACAAGAAAAGCAGACGCGATACGGCTTTTGTCATACTAAGACGACAACAAGATGTATAAAATGTGATATTGGATTACATGTAAAGTCTTTCGTTGATTACCATAAAAAATAATAGTATATTGTTTTATATGGAAGAGAAGCAGTGCTTTTTATGGCGTGGTCTGTCGCTTAGCGACGAACGCAGTGAGTCGCTAATGACTAGGGCCCGGAACTTTTGTAACGGTACGATACGATTTACCCCCTCCACTTGTTCTCCTAGAAAATGATCGGTTGTTATTGACCAAGGTTTATAGAACATAAGGTTACCTCATTCCCTATGCCTCTGTAGTATCGATTATTACCCCGCAAATTGACGTCACTGGTTCGATACAGTCAGAATAAAAGATAGCCTATACATGTGCCTATACGTGACAACACGATGCGAGGTTTAAATATTTTATATAGACTGTACCACAGTATAGGTGGTGTTGTGTTGTTCATAGAACCAGCTACGTCACTGACCCACCTTGCCTCTCAGAGGAGGAGAATCGGTATTGGGTAACCTTATGTNAACTTATGGGGACCGGCACAGTTAGAGAAAATCGACTGCGAGGAATTGACTTACGAGATTCTAAACTTTTGAAGGAGGAAAAAAGAGGGAGCTATGATTACAGGAAAATTAGTGATCAAAATATAATAGCAGAATATTCAGGCACGTAGAAAATGTAACTGTTATAAAAATGTACCAATAATGATGTTTTTTTCTTAGATTGAACAACCTGCGACCGTAAAGAGTTATAATGAAAATATGGGCGGTGTTGATCGGTTTGATCAAAATATTGGTTTGTATCGTATTTCCATAAGAGGAAAAAAATGGTACTTTTCCCTTGTTTGTCATTGTATTGACATGTCAATTCAAAATGCTTGGCAACTGTATCGAAATAATGAAAGAGAAATGAATCAGCTACAATTTAGACGACGAATCGCTAATGTTTTATTGTTGAAAAATAAAAAACCGTTCCCGTCTTCAAGTAGAGGTCGTCCAACTCAACAAGAAAATATAGATATTCGATATGACCGTTTAGATCATTTGGTTACGCCACAAGAAAAGCAGACGCGATGCGGCTTTTGTCATACTAAGACGACAACAAGATGTATAAAATGTAATATTGGATTACATGTAAAGTCTTTCGTTGATTACCATAAAAAATAAATAATATTATTATATTGTCTTGTGTCTCTAATCGCCATTAATATGCCTAGCGTACTATATATAGGACAGTGTCTTTTAAACCCATGTAGTATATAAAAAATTATAATGATCAGATATCATGTTTAAATACTGTTTTCTTAGATAAAATATCATTTCAACAGTAAATTATATTTAATAGTAAGTGTTTAGGCATATCTGGGTTAATAGACTCTTAGTGATGTTGATCTCATGGCGCCCGTGATTAACAGGCAGGCCACTCGTTTCAATTGATGCAGCAATTTAGCCTTACAGACATGTTTCAGTACTGAGCACCAAACTATGACTCCGTGAGCTACCATGGGTCTTATCACAGACGTGTAGATTCACATTTTTACCCTCGAATTTAATCCCCAAGTAATTCCAATAGCTCTTCGACACTGGGTTAGTACAATCGTTGCATTTTTGGTTTTGCAACTAATGTGTGATTTCCAAGTCAGTCCTTTGTCCAAGATATTTCACCTCTGGAGCAAAGGTTAATGGCCTGTTGCAGAAATAGGGTGGTGTTAAGTGTCGCAGTTTTCTCTGTTTAGTAAAGAGAACAATCTGAGTCTTTTTAGGTTTTACAGAGAGATGCTCTTTACACCATCGTTCAGAAAGTTTAAACGCCTGCTGCATTCTATAACAAAGAAAATTGTTACGTTTACCTCTTAACAGAATAGCCACGTCATCGGCGTAGCCGACTGTGGAGAAATGGCACTAGAGACCAGAGAAGCGGTGAGAGTACTCCACCTTCTGGGCAGCCTCTAACCACAGCTCTCTGTACTATGTGACTTTTCTTATCCTAAACAACTCTGCTAGCATTGTCTTTATCTAGCCCGCGATGACATATTCGAGATTCCAGTGCCATATTAATACTTTTAAAGGTGGTTAAGTCTCTATGTCAAGGAAAGCTCCCAATATAGACTCCTTCGAATCGATTGCTTGCTCAATGCGCCCCACTACCATGTGTAAGGCCGTATCCACAGATTTACCTTTGATGTAAGCATGCTGATGCAAATGCAAAAGAAACGCTGTAAGTACATTTTCTCTAATGTAATGATCACGAAGTCATTCAAATGTCTTTGAATGAAAAGATGAGAAACTAATTGGTCGAAAGGCTTTAGGATCCGTTGGGTCCTTTTTTCCATTCTTCGGTATAAAGGTTACTGTAACCCTCCTCCAACTGATGGTGACATAGTTAAAGGCTAAACAAGCTCTAAACACCTTCATCAAGTGTGTTTTCATATCTCCTAGGCTCCATTGAAGAAGAGCAGGAAAGATACCATCGGGTCCGGGCGTTTTGAAGGGTTTAAAACTGCTAACGGCCCACTCTATCATCTCGTTCTATACAACCTGGTTGGCTATCTGCCAGTCATGTCTGGTAAGAGAGTTGTTTAGTTCCATTTGGTGTGGAAACGTTGAAAAATCTTACGGAGAGCCTGGGAAATGAATATCCATTAGTAAGTGCAATGATTCTTTTGGATCCTTGGAATTTTATTAAGGCGTAAGGCCTCAGCGGCACTCTCGCAAACCTCCTCGCAAAAACCTCTCCAGACTTGTCGCTTTTTCTGGCGTACCGGATGTTTGAATTCTGACTGGTGTGTTTACAGTTCAATTATTATCTAGTTTGTTTAACTTTATTAAAAGCCTTTCTGCAGGTGACCCTCAGGGAATGGAGATTGCCCTTACTTTCTCCTCCACTGTTCTCTCAGGACATACACTGTGGAAAGCCTGAATCAGTGTGTCACCTACGAGATTCGAGTATTCCTCTAATTCATTGGTATTTCCAGGAAGGGCATCAGGAAAATCGCGCTATTGCTTGCTTAGACAGCTTACAAAAATGCTCAAGTCAGTCTGCTCTGGATCCCGAACCCCCTTTTTCAAAAGCATACTAGGTCCCAGTTCGAAAGTAATCCATCAGTGGTCAGACATAGACGCCTCCTGGGAGATAGGCCAGTTGTTAATCTTTGTAGGTCTTTGATTGATCAAATTAATTATCGTTTGACACCTTGCATTGACGAACGTAGGTTCACAACCTTGGTTAATTATTTCCAAGTCATTACTCGTAATAAATTCAAGCAAGGTCTTACCTCTAAAGTAGTCTAAAGTTTCCTTCGTTGCATCCCCAAGCTACAGAATAAGCATTGGAGTCGCAGCCTACAATAAGCAGCCACTTATTTACCTTACTAGCATTATCTAGCGTAGTTATTTTATTAAATATTATATTTTTTCCAATTTGACATAACCTTGATTAATTTATGACCTTGAAACAAAAACTAACTTTATTTCGTTAATTTTTAAGTTACATGATCAAAAAAGCATCATTTTCTCTTTAGTTCATGTGGCTGAAGTTAGATTCACTCGCCAGACACAGATTCGAATATTTATAGTCGGTCAAACAAGTAGTGGTCCTAAAATTTTCTTTCAAATACGAAGTTCTTTTCTCACCACTTGGGAATGTTTCACTCTAAAATCACGCTAAGTACTTAAGTTGAACTCTCTAGAACCCCCGTGCACGATCAGAACCACCGAATTTAGAGATGGGGATGCAGGGTGAGGGTTTAATTTTTGTTAATTTTGTAGAGTAACTTTAGGATTTTTTTTCTCATCCCCCGTGGACTGCTTCACTTTGCAACCACGTTAAATAATTAAGTCGAACCCTCTAGAACCCCCGAATTTAGAGATGGGGATGCAGGGTGAGGGTTTAATTTTTGTTAATTTTGTAGGGTAACTTTAGGATTTTTTTTCTCATCCCCCGCTGGACTGCTTCACTTTGCAACCACGTTAAATAATTAAGTCGAACCCTCTAGAACCCCCGAATTTAGAGATGGGGATGCAGGGTGAGGGTTTAATTTTTGTTAATTTTGTAGGGTAACTTTAGGATTTTTTTTCTCATCCCCCGCGGAGTGCTTCACTTTGCAACCATGCTAAATAATTAAGTCGAACCCTCTAGAACCCCCGTGCACGATCAGAACCCCCGAATTTAGAGATGGGGATGCAGGGTGAGGGTTTAATTTTTGTTAATTTAATTTAATTTTTTATTATTATTTTAATTAATTTAATTTTTTGCACTCCACGGGGGATGAGAAAAAAAATCCTAAAGTTACCCTACAAAATGAACAAAAATTAAACCCTCACCCTGCATCCCCATCTCTAAATTCGGGGATTCTGATCGTGCAAGGGGGTTCTAGAGGGTTTGACTTAATTATTTAGAGTGGTTGCAAAGTGAAGCACTGCACGGCGGATGAGCAAAAAAATCCTAAAGTTACTCTACGAAATTTACAAAAATTAAACCCTCACCCTGCATCTCCATCTCTAAATTCGGGGGTTCTGATCCTGCACGGTGGTTCTAGAGGGTTCGACTTAATTATTTAACGTGGTTGCAAAGTGAAGCACTCCACGGGGAATGAGAAAAAAAAACCTAAAGTTACTCTACAAAATTAACAAAAATTAAACCCTCACCCTGCATCTCCATCTCTAAATTCAGGGGTTCCGATCGCGCATGGGGGTTCTAGAGGGTTCGACTTAATTATTTAGCGTGGTTGCAAAGTGAAGCACTCCTCGGGGGATGAGAAAAAAAATCCTAAACTTACTCTACAAAATTATTAGAAATTAAACCCTCCTCCAGCATCCCCATCTCTAGATACGGGGGTTCTAGAGAGTTGGAAAGAAGTGGTGAGAAAAGAAGTTCATATTTGAAATAAAATTTTAGTACCACTACTTGTTTGATCGACTGTAAATATTCGAATCTGTGTCTGGCGAGTGAATCTAACTTCAGCCACATCTTTAGTTCCACGTTATACACGCAACAATTCTCTTTTAATATCAATTTAAGTAAAAAATTAAATCAAATTTAAATATTCAAAATAGATAGGCAATCATAGAAAATAGCTTCGTAGAAATGCAACTCTCTAACCAAAAACTTCGTACTAAAAATTGAACGCATATGGCGCCATCTGTTGGGGATATTTTGGAATTATTCAGCTAAGAACCGAACCACTAGAATACAGGTTGGATTGGGTTTATATATAAAAGCTCCAACCACAGAATAACTGTTTGGAAAGTGTTTGGAGCCACATAGTGGCTCCAATTAACGTTCCGACTGGTTGGGAATCCCTCAGATGCAATTACCTATGGTAATTACACCTGTCAAATAATGCCGCACATTTGAACATCACTGCATCATATGACATGTGAGATTGCATCTGACGAGCTTCCAACAACTTATAACTTTAGCTGAAACAAAGCTATAATGTCAATTATAATCTAATTATTTAATCATACCATTATTACTTTATTATACTCTTACCGAAAAATCACTTTAAAATGACGTTTTCATCTGTCATTCTGAACAATCTTGAACAAACTTCAACTTTATAATTTTAAAAGTTGAAGTTAGCGGCAAATTTAAAAATATAACACGAATTGGAATCTATACTTTTTAAATTAAAAGAATGACACTGGTAATAATTGTTATTACTGTCTCTCATCATTCCCACTATTAATAATAAAATTGTCAGTTTAATTAAATTATTTCAGTATAGACGCTAATGCCATCTTACGGGGGTATTTCGACATACAATCAGTCCCAAGTTCTCCTATCAAAGATCCCTGGGGCTGTAGGCAACCAACTACACATAACCAAACAAATTAAACATAACCTAAAATGCAAGTTTTTAATAATTATTAAGATGAACTTAATTATTTCAAATAGTTTAAACGTATTACTATTATTTTCTTCGATTTATTTATGGAAATGGTATTTTCGCCTCAAGAAAACCCACGAAAAAATAATCGAAACATATAGATGCCACAACACGGTCATAATTTACTCTAGAAGACGAGGAATCTCGGGTTGGCCGAAATATAACGTAGATCCTTATCGAATCGAATTCAAAAATCTTAGTAGAATATTCGAACCAATAACTCATTTTATAACAACCTCAGAAAAAACTGTAGATATTGCTGTGATGACCATATCCTCTTCGGTTCTAATAAATACAATATTAAATGTGTTACGAAAAGGAATTCGTGTGAGAATTATTTTGAATTATGCTCACAGTGAAAATGTGCTGGTAAAAAAGCTTATTAAAAACGGTAATTTCTTGCTTTTTTAAAAATAAATAAGTTATTTTTTTAATATTTCTTTGTATGTAGGTGCTGATGTAATATTTTTTGTTGAACCTTCGACAACATGCAGTTTATTTCATTATAAATATGCTATAAAAGATTATGGCACAAATAATCAAGCTGCATATTGTGGTTCTATTAATTGGACTGATTCTGCGTTTACCAGCAATTATGAAGATTTAACAATTTCAACAAATAAGTATATTGTAGATCGTTTCAATGAAAATTTTAATGATTCTTTCGAATATATCAAAAATATGAACAAAGCAAAGACATAAAAATATTTTAAACTTTGTTTAAAATTGCTTAAATAAGCTTAGAAATAAAAAGAAAGTATATTTTTTTAATTTTTTTTTTAATTAAGAATCATCAAAAGTCATTCGTCCTACACCATGGTTTTTAACATATCGCCTATATTGTTTATATTTGGTATTTTCAGCTAATTGTTTCTTCATATTTTCTTCTTCTTCGTGTTTCCAAATTGAAAAGTTGCTTTTTATCCATAATTCTCGTCTTAAAAACTCCTCCTTTTTCTCATCTTCAAGTTGATCAAACTGGTGTTGCCCCATTTTCATTAATTTCCTTATTAAAAACAATTTCTCCTCAGTTTCGTAAGGTTTTCTTAAAATATCATGATTCCAAACTTTACAAATAAAACTTAATTTCCTTATTAAAAACAATTTCTCCTCAGTTTCGTAAGGTTTTCTTAAAATATCATGATTCCAAATCCATGAAACGTACCAAATAATATATTTTACTAAAGTATACGGACACAAAATCAATTGAATCCAAAGAATATCATAAAGTGTTGGTTTTGCATAAGCTCCTTTAATATCCATTTTGTTTTCGATAATTTGTTGGATTATTTTATCTTGAGCTTCCTTTAATTCGCTTTTTGATCGCCTTTTTTTGTCATTAGCTAATAAATTTAATAAACCCTCTTCTTTTGCGATGTCCATTGCTCTATTTCGATACTTTGGCACGGAAACAAAATATTTTATGGCTGTATTATATCGTTGCCACGAACTGTAGTATTGAACCACTGAAATAATTGTTATGGTCACAATTAAAACGATTCGTACATCGACTTTTGGGGCAACCCTTCTTCTGTAATATCGATAATAATGCGCGTAAAATTCGTCGGGATTATCCAACATGTAATCGTAATCCGAACGAGAATCATCGTCTTTTAAAATTTCATAAGCATTGGCAATTTCTTTAAATTTCTCTTCCGCTATTTGTTTCGCTTCTTTGTCTCGATGTAAATCGGGATGGAATTGCCGCGCTAGTTTCCGGTAATTTTTGGCGATATCATTCTTCGTTGAATCTCTTGAAACACCGAGTAATGTGTAACAATTTTCTTTACCACAATATAGACCTTCCAGAAGTTGTCCGTGAACCAGCGATGAGGTTAAATAGGTTAAAACAATTAATAAGATTAAACACTCATTTTTTTGATGCCGCATGTTTAGTTTTTTATTGGGTTTAACATCAGCCACGTTTAAAAGCCACGTTTGAACAAAACATCGACATTCCGGCAGAGATTTTAGGTTAGATCATTTTGACATTGACATTTTAAACGTAAACGATAAATTTTCTTTTAGATAGCCGGTAAAAAAGGAACCCATAATTAATTCAACGTTGAGTTTAAAGATGGCAGTATGCTTACGTCAAATCATATTTTTTCGTTTTCAAAATTTCTGTTTTGTTTATTTATATTTATTTATTTATGTTTTTCAAAGTCGGTTTCTGTTCAATATCGTCGAGCACATTGTTTTTACAAAATGGATTACTAAGAAAGCAGAAAAGCGAGGAGGTGAAAACGCTGCAAAGTTACTAACGCCATCTAACGAGCTTGATCGGAATTCCGGTTAAAATTTGAATTGTTACAAGTGGGGATTACTTCGAAATCTTTTTCTTTTTCGTTTACATATGGTCGTTTATATGATACAAAATACAAAATAGAGTATGTTAGACGAGAATGAACGTATTCCTGCAAATGTTCGAGAAATTCCGAGAATGACAAGAACGCTATTTCTAAGCGCACGAGATAGCCCGGTTATTAGGATAACATGAAATGGACTAGGTGTATAACTTATCGATTTCATTCCACCATCTTTTAACAAATAGGCGCACTACAATGTTATCGAAAATATTCAAAAAAAACAATTAATTTCTTACCTTAATCTTGACGTAGTTTAAGACACCTTAAGGTGAAAACTTGGCTCCACACGTAAAAAAAGCATCCAAATTCCTCCGAAACACAGCCTCGCAGCACTACAATAACTTTTTCTTTTAATTTTTAATTAACCACAAAAATCATTGTACTTAAATGTCAAGGTCCGTTGAGTATTGGTTGTAAGGTTATCCAACGCAAAGAAATTGACGTTGACGGGGTGAGGTAATAACGTGACGTCATTGGCGGAAAACTATAATATAATATACAGGTGTCCATTATGCATGGAATGTAGTATGCAGGATGTTTCGGTGACTCGGGGAACAAATTTAACCACATATACTAGAGTGAAAATGATGACGATTCATGTAAAAAAAAATTAGTAAAAGTCTTCAAATTTCAAAGATACAGGCCATCAAAGTTAGGAAATTATAACACATTTTTCCAAATATCTTAAACACTATTTACAGTAATGCGCTGATATTTTCTACAGTACAAATCAATGTGATGTAAAATCGTTAGGCAATTTATGAGTTGGATGGGTCCGCGGATACAATATTATACAGACTGTTCCTAAAGTTTATTTGCTCAGAACATTTTTATTCTATCATAACCCTACATTTATTTTTGCTGTTTCTAATAGTAAATTTAGTTCAGAAACTTTTATTACTCTTAGTTAATATTAAAATATTAGAAAAAGAAATCTAAGTTTTTGAACATTGCCTTTAGTATTTTTTATTACTTGTCTTGTTATTTTATGTACTTTTTTTATTATTCCTGTTAGTGTTGTCGTTTTTTTGTTTATTTTTTGTGTATTTTTAATTTATTGTTTTTGGATTCTTTTATTAAATTAAAAATGTGATTTAGCTAAATCTACACTTGGACATGTTGCATACATAATAGTTATGACAGCTCAGTTCGATTTTCATTTGTTATTGCCAATTCAGATTATTTATTTATTTTTTTTTTAGTGTTATTGAATTTGGAGCCTAACATTTTTGTATTTAATACGAAAACGGTGGTTTTCTATCAATATTTTCTAAGAGTGATAAAAGTTTCTAAACTAGATTTACTATTAGAAACTGCAGAAATAAATGTAAGGTTATAATAGAATAAAAAAGTTCTGAGCAAACAAACTTTAGGAACAGCCTGTATAGCTTTGTTCCCGCGTACCGATCCAACTCAAAAATTGCCTAATGATTTTACGTGATATTAGTTTACACTGTACCAAATTTCAATGCTTTACCATAAATAGTGTTTAAGATGTTTAGAATAATGTGTTAAAATTTCCTAACTTTAATGGCCTCTATCTTTGCAATTTGAAGACTTTTACTAATTTTTTTTACATGAATCGTTTTCACTCTAGTACATGTGGTTACATTTGCTCACCGAGTCACCGAAACAACTTGTATATCTTGGTAAGTATTAACTTTATAAAAAAACAATTTATACAAAAGTTGTTTAATATTTGATTAGCCATAATAAGACAGCATTCAATTATTGTTTTTATTTCAGAAAAAAAATGAGCAACGAATAACACTTGAAGTTTTTTAAATGGCAATGTATCCTTTCGTTAGGCTTATTTGATAGAGATTTGTTTTCTCTTTACGATGACGTAAAATTTTAGTACTCTTATATCAGAAAATATTTGAAAAAAATTTAAAAATTGTTTATTAAGAAAACTTAACTAATAACATAAATCTAGATATCCGAGATCGTCAAGTACCTCGAAGTACTTCGAATTCCGAACACTAGATATAGAACTAGAAACATTCGGGTTTAGCCGTCTTTAGAGACGTGCGGCAAATTTAAATTAATAATTATTATTTATTTATTTACTTATTATTGTATTTATTTTCGTTTGTTATCGTCAACACTAAACATACAAATTAACATTGAAGTTATTTATGAGTGTATTTATTTCAAAATATAATAAAGAAGGGTTTAAGAACACAAAATTTACAATAATGACACGAAACTGTCGAATTATCAATTAGCTAACCTTCAAATTCAAAATCAAAATTCAAAATTGCCTGTGTGTGAATCTTCCTCGCATTCAACCAATCACGTGCAAGGTCAATCTGGTGACAAATTTAAAATACTCCTCCTGGTTTAAAAACAGAGTATAGTTGAAGTGCAAGTGTTAGTTCTAGTTTTAATTGTTATTCAGCGCTAAGTTGTATATTTTTAAGTTTCGGNACAATTAAAACTAGAACTAACACTTGCACTAGAACTATACTCTGTTTTTAAACCAGGAGGAGTAAACGCGAAAGTCAGATTTACACTAGGAAAAATCACCAGAAAATATCACTAGATATTTTGGCGGTAAATTTAAATTAATAATTATTATTATTTATTTATTTACTTATTATTGTATTTATTTTCGTTTGTTATCGTCAACACTAAACATACGCCTCCCATCAAACTAACATTGAAGTTATGAGTGTATTTATTTTAAAGTATAATAAAGAAGGGTTTAAGAACACAAAATTTACAATTATGACACGAAACAGTCGAATGATCAATAACCTAACCTTCAAATTTAAATTCAAAATTGCATGTGTGTGAACCTTCCTCGCATTCAACCAATCACGTGCAAGGTCAATCTGGTGACAAATTTAAAATACTCCTCCTGGTTTAAAAACAGAGTATAGTAATTTATCACAAAAATACAATAAAAAAAAAATTTAAAATTAAGGTTGGTATTAATATTTAATAATTATTAAATTGCTGTCTTCATTGTTGCTAACTTCGGGTTTAACGTTTTTTTATTCAAACTTTTTTGTTTTTGGAGATAAGTGCGTCATGTTTGGACTCATTTTAAAGGTTTTTTAATAAAAAATACATCATAAAAGAGCACCATGAAATTGTCCATTATATGATAACTAACTTCAGATTTAAAATGTCAACCTCAATTTTGACATATTTGTAATCTTCATTAAAAATCCTTTAAAATGAGTACAAACACGACATATTTACCTTCAATATTAATGAAGTTATGGTCGACTTCCGGTTAGAAATGTCAACGTCAATTTTGACATATTTGTAATTGTCGTGGAAAATCCTTGATACGTTTAATTCCAATATTAGTAGAGGTATAAGGAACTTCCGGTTTCAAATGTCAATGTCATTTTGACAAATTCTTAATTTTCATAAAATGTTTTAAAATTTATCACAAAAACAAAAATACAATAAAAAAAATTAAAAATTAAGGTATTAATATTTAATAATTAAATTGCTGTCTTCATTGTTGCTAACTTCGGGTTTAACGTTTTTTTATTCAAACTTGTTTGTTTTTTGAGATAAGTGCGTCATGTTTGGACTCGTTTTAAAGGTATTTTAATAAAGAAAATACATCATAAAAGAACACCGTGAAGTTGTCCATTTGTCTGTTATATGATAACTGACTTCAGGTTTAAAATGTCAACCTCAATTTTGACATATTTGTAATCTTCATTAAAAATCCTTTAAAATGAGTACAAACACGACATATTTATCTTCAATATTAATGAAGTTATGGTCAACTTCCGGTTAGAAATGTCAACGTCAATTTTGACATACTTGTAATTGTCGTGAAAAATCCTTTAAAATGTTGGGCTCATCACATTTTGAAAAATTCTTAATTTTTATAAAATGTCTTAAAATTTATCACAAAAACAAAAATACAATAAAAAAAGATTAAAAATTAAGGTTGGTATTAAAATATTTAAAAATTAAATTGCTATCTTCATTGCTGCTAACTGCGGATTTAACGTTTTTTATTCTAATTTTTTTGTTTTTTGAGATAAGTGCGTCATCTTTGGACTCATTTTATAGGTTTTTTTAATGAAGATGACAAATATGTCAAAATTGACGTTGACGTTTCAAACCGGAAGTGATTTTTTATGAAGTTGACAAATATGTTAAAATTGAAAGTTGAAAGTTTATGGTTTTTATGATTTTTTGAGATAAATGCGTCAAGTTTAAAGGTTATTTTATGAAGATTACGAATATAATAATAAAATTAAAGTTGACATTGACAACTGAAAGTTTTCTTCACCACTAAACCCGAATGATTCTAGTTCTAGGTCTTGTGTTAGGTCTAGTGATAGTGCTAGTGTAAAGTTAGAAATAAACACTAGACCTAGAACTAGAAATATTCGGGTTTAGCCTTGCGTCTTGAGACTTTTCTAAGTTCTTGTCTAAGACGTCCGGCTAAACCTAAAACTTTCTAGTTCTAGGTCTAGTGTTAGTTCTAGTTTTAATTGTTATTTACCCTAATTCTTGTACATTTTAATTGATCTACAAATTTTTTTTTTGATTTTATCCACTTACCTTGCTTATAAATTCATCCATTTACCCATTTTGAATTAAATACAATAATTTTTATTAATTTTAAAACAATTCGAATTCTTTACGATTATCTCGCATTCATAACAAATTCGTTAATTGTAGTTATTTTAAATCGATTCTAATTAAGAGAAATAAATTAAGAATATCTTTTTTTTGATATAATCCACTTACCTTGTTTATAATATCCTAGATAAACCAATTTTGAGTTAAATACAGCCTTTTAAACCAATTAAAAAAGACTTTTTCCTTAAAAAAACTTGAATTCAATTTCAATTTTGACAAGCACCTGCAATATTTGGATCTTAATCACCATGGTAACCGAGTCAAGTTGGATAACCTAACAATAATAAAATTATAACTGTTAATATTTCGCTTGGTATTTTAATATTTTTTTAATTTTATTTTATCTTTTTTTTAATATTTTTGTATATTGCTTCTTAAGTGAAAAATACACTGTCTTATACACTGTTTACTTAACGGACCTTGCTTAAATGTCATAAACAGCTCCACCTATATCATATTGGGGTAACTAAGTAAATAGACCAATTTTTTTTAAAAATTCATATTTAATTATTTTAATCCTTTTTTATTTTTTAAAAATTCGGTGATAAGAATTAAAATGTTTATAATGTGATTTATAGATATTTATAAATTCAAAATAAAAAAATATTTTTTTTATTAGTATACGTTCATAAATAAAACGTCAAAAAATATTGACAAATAAAACTTAACCTAACATATAAATTTTTTTCCAATAAATCATGGACCAAAATCAAGAAATAATCAAAGAATATAAACAACAAGTTAATGTTTTAACAAAAAAGCGACAAAAAATTAATTTCCTCTTTTTTTAGTTAATCCAAATAAACGCTGCAATATCAAATTCAACATCACAAGAAGAAATCGATTCTTTAATAAGTTTAAAAACCGATATCCAACAATTATTATCATTAACAGACGATTCAAACTCCAATCAAACCGAATTAGAAGATGAATACGCAAATTTTATGGCTGAAATGGCAAAAGAAGGTGCTTATGGTGGTGAACCAAAAAGTGAGGTTAACTTAGAAGAGATTAATAAATTAAAGAGTGAATTAGAAGGAATGAAATGTAAAGCCCCACATAAACATTCTTGGGGTGAAATAATGTATCACAATGCAATGATTAGTTCAGTTTTGTATGACGAAGAAATTAAAGTTAAGGTTATGTTTTTAAACCCCACTCATTTAGAAATGTTACCGTGTCCGTATTTCTTGGAGACTGAATGCAAATTTTCTGAAGAGAAATGTAGATTTTCCCATGGCGAAATAGTTCCATACTCAGAAATTAAAAGTTATTTAGAACCAAAATTTGAAAATGTTAAAATCGGAACAAAAATCTTAGCTAAGAAAAGTAATAAACTTTGGTATCGAGGTCATGTAAAAAAGATATATGATGGAAAGTGTTTCGTTGGATTTGATTCAAAAGAAAAAGACTTAGAAGTTGAATTTAAAGATTTATTACCTTTAGATAGCAACAAAAATGATGAATTTAGTGATAGTGATGGTACAGAAAGTGAAAGTGATGATTTAGAGGTTAAAAACGATGAAAAAGATGATAAAAGTGAGATTATAAATATGAGTTTAATGTTGAAACCTACAGAAGAGGCTTTGGGGAGCTGGGAAAAGTATACAAGAGGAATCGGGGGGAAATTAATGTCTAAAATGGGTTATATCATAGGATCTGGGTTAGGAAAATATTCTAATGGGCGTTTAGAACCTGTTTCAGCAGTTATTTTACCACCCGGAAAATCTTTAGGTTAACTAAATTATACTCTATTTTTTAATTCGTAGGAGTAAAATGAAAAGTCACTTTTACATAGTGTAATTTTTCAAAACTATTTTTTTGGCGGGAGTTTTAAAACCAGAGATGATTTTAAGTAAACTATAGTTATGAATTTAATTAATTATTTGTTTAAAGATAATAAAAACCAGGGCGTATCTATTTACTTTGCCCACATAAAATGCAACATGTCAATATAATTTGATAATTATTGCAGGAATTCATGTTGCAAGTTTATTGAAAAGAAACTTAACTGCAAAATTAACGCACCACTTATACAGGGTGATTCGAAAAACCGCTGACAGACTTCTAGGGCAGGTAATACATCAAAAATTGAAATGAAAAGTCTTAATATACATGGGGTTGCAAATGCCACCTTAACGAGATATGAGGGTGTCAAAGTTTCTTTAAAATTAAACATTATCTGCAATAAAAAACCCTTTTTTAAAAATATTTTCAACGCCACTGCTAATTTTGTCAAACTGGCAGTATTTTCCAGTTCTCTCAAATCTATCAATTGATCTCTTACAAAAGTTTGATTAAAGCAACAGTTTTTTATTGGATTAACAAATTTTTTACAAGCGTGTCCCCCCTTCACTCCCTTCGTCCTTCCATTTTTGCGTTCTTTTCAATTCTTTCCGAGCACTCCTCTCATAATGTCGTCCAATTCCGGGTGACATAAAGAATCATTAAATTTTTGTTAATTTAATCTTACCCTTCTACTATCTTCACTTCCTCCCTTTCTTCTTATTTCCTCTTCCTCCTTCTGTCTCATTATTGTTCTCAGGTAGCTCATTACTGTTTCAGCCTTATTCTTAGCTGACAAGGAGATCTACATACATGTCTTATTCTTAGCTCTATCATTTTTCTTTCTCTTTCAAATCGTTCGCATTCAAAGATGGTATGCTGCGGAGTATCTCTCTCGCAGCATCCAAACCAACACAGGTCTGTCTCTACCTTTTTAATAATATGCAAGTATGTCGCGAAAACTCCGTGCCCCGTGATCACTTGCGTAGTATAATAATCAGTCCTTGGCCCCCTCTGCCGCCACTCTTCAACATTTTTAATAAAAGTTTTTGTCCATCCATTATAACTCTCCCATCTCTCTTGCTATTTTCTTACCATTTCAGTATGGTTCTCTTGTTTCCGGTTCCCCCCCCGTTCCCCAATTTCTTGCTCTTTCCCACACTAGGAGGTCCATTGGAGGGCATCCCGCTAGCACACCCACTGAGTCCGTCGACACGGATGTTTTTCTCTCTATCGTGCGTATCATCCCTCTATATTTTTGGCAGCGCAGCACTTCCTCCCAAGTCGGTGCCGCATACAGCACTACAGACTGAATAACAGTCGTCAAAATTCTTCTCTTTCCATGACTCAGAATTCCTTCATCAACGATAAAAAGTTCCGTGCGAGCTGTTAAAGATATTCCATCCCAAACCAACACTGAAGCGCCTCCGTATAATGTGGTGTCTCGAATGTTACATGTGGAATATCTTTCATTTGGCCTTCTGTACACTCTTGGACGACGATCAGAACGTACAAGGCAAAACCGTGATTCATCCGTAAATAATACCTGCTCCCAATGATGGATTTGATGTTTCTTCGGTGGTTTACAGATAACCTGGGACCAGTAGCTGCTGCTCGAGGTCGTAAATTTTGAGTACGAAGTCTTCTTATGGTATCTTGGCTAACATCAGTGCCATAAACCTCGCTTAGTTGTATTTGGAGGCTTCGTGCAGTAGTGATCTTCCACAGCATATCTAGCTCGTGGCCTGCCTTGGCTATGTCGTCTAGCACAATCGTTGGTCTTTACAAATCTCTGCAGAACCCTACCGACCGTTGTATGAGCCATGAAAAACCTTCTACCAAGTTCGCGATTTGTTAGTCCATCATTGGACAAAGTTACAATTTGAACACATTCATCACGATTTAAATATCGTCTAGCACGCTCCATTATGTATTGCACGAATAACAGTTATCTTGTCAATTGGTAAAACAATTAAATGCCTACTTTTATTTTAGAAGTGAGGTTTATTTACTTAAAAAACAAGCCCCTCATGAAAAGATGTTATGATTTCAAAATTAAATATAGAAGACCTATACAAAAGGCGTAATAATGAACAAATTATAACTGATATTAATGAATCGGAAATATATAATATTTCTCGAAATAAAACCGAAAGTCAGAGTGGTGCGTTAATTTTGCGGTTAAATGTATATGAAGGAAATTATTTTATATAAAACTTCTTACTTGCTCGTATTTAAATATTTATTGGTACCGGTTTTTTAGCTGATGATGACTTAAAAGTCGAAACCGGTACCAATAAATATTTAAATACAAGCATGTAAGAAGTTTTATATAAAATAATTTCCTTTATACACTGCGCAAAAAAATTAGGGGAACAGTTTTTCGAAATCTGTAACTTTTTAAGTAATAGTTTTAGTCAAATCAAATTTGGTTTACAACTCTTAGTTACTTCTAAGGTACACTTAAAAATGTAAATTAATAACGCAAAACAGAGTGGAAAAAATGTCAAGTATGCATTGAATTCGCGAATGTAAGCCTACTAAATATGACAAATGAATACAGTTGTCAATTTTCGTTGATGTGGCATCTTAGTGAAGCGCAAGTTGCTCGTGCTGTCGCCCTTATTCAGCATGGCCACTTTATTCGACATGTTAGCAGAGATCTTCGAGTTTCCCGTTCTGTTATTCAGAGTTTATGGAATTGGTTTTGGGGGACTGGCCATCATGTTAGAAGAGCTGGACAAGGTCGAAATCGAAAAACTACTCAAAATCAAGACCGATTTGTTGTCTACGTACGCGTACTGCCACAGCACGAGGCCTTCTAAACGACTCAAAACGAGCACATGGAATAGAAATTCCTGATCAAACTGTTAGAAACAGATTAAAAGAAGCGAATTTGAAACCTAGAAGACTTGTCCGCGCACCACGCCTTACGCAGCATAACAAAGCAGCGCGAAGGAGGTTTGCTCTGGATCACAGAGATTGACAACTTCGGCACTGGACGCCTGTACAGTTTACAGACGTGTCGAGATTTCGTTTAACTCGTTGCGATGGTCGAGTACGTATATATAGACGTCGTGGTGACCGCTACGCAGCCGCTACTAAACAGGAAGTGGATAGATTTGGTCGGAGATCTGTTATCGTTTGGGGTGGAATCAGTGTTGTTAAATACCCGGGGTTATTTATTTTCAAGGGTAAATTTCCTGGATATATACCCCGGGGTATTTACCCAAGATGGGTATTTAGAAGTATTTATAAAATTTAATTTAAATTGAGTTGGTGGCAGTTTTGCAAGCACTTCAAGAATACAGACTCGATTATCAATACACCAAACTCATTTATAACATCTGCAAGAATGCTACAATGACGGTAAAATCGCATGAAAGTACTAAAGAGAGTAGAAGTATTAAAGTATTGATAATGAGTAAACCAAGGCCATACAATGTTGAACCCAAATTGTTCATCACAGTCCTGAAGAGTGCATTTAAACAACTGGATTGGACCCAAAAACGCATTTAACATTGATAGCAAATGCCTAAGTAATTGGGACGATAAAGTTCTTATTTCGGATAGCTTTAGAGAGATGAAACTAATGCTGAACGACTTAAACGTATGCGCAAGAGTCGGGCTAAATATCAACGTGGAGAAATCAAAATTTATGACAAATCTTGTTCCTAACTCTAACATCAACATTGGGGATAATGACATTGAGAAGGTGGACAACTATGTATATCTTGGCCATGAGGTTCGTGTATCGAGAGAACTAAACAGAAAGATCACACTCGCATGGGCAGCCTACGGGAAGCTTAAAGACATCTTCAAGAGCTATATTCCTATATACAAGGTGTCATTTTGTTGTAAGCGATTTGTTTAGTCACTTTTTGAAAATGATGTCTAGTAGGTGGCTTCCCCCAGCTGTCACCACAAAATCTGCTCTTTTTTCGACGTTTTTCATCACTTTTGCGAGTGTTTCGGGCGTTATTTTGGCGATTTCTTGGCGTATTTTGGCCTTAAATTGCTCGAGTGTGTCTGACTTGATGATATAAAGGTTCCTAAGGTATCCCCACAGGAAAAAGTCAGGAGGCGTTAAATCAGGCGAACGCACCAGTCATAATCGCCACTTTTCGATAACAATCAATTTGGAAACATGGTATGCAGCAAATCCATATTAATAGAGCAGTATGGCACGTTACACCATCTTTCTGGAACCAGTATTCCTCCATGCCATTTTCTTCGAGTTCAGTTGACCGTCACCGTCGCGCCATTATCACGCTCTTAAATATCGACACTTACAGCAGCTATAGCGTCATCATTACGGCGTGTACGGGTCTTAACTTTGGGCTTCGATGTTGCTAAAGAACCACTGGCATTGAATTTCCCTACAAAATTTCGAATTGTCTTGGCTGTGGGCGTTGGACGACGGCGATATTTTTCTGTGTACAGGCGTTGAGTAAGAGTAGCAGAGGAACTTTTATGGATATAAAATTTCACACTTTCTGCACGTTCTCTAGATGTGTGGTTAAAATTGTACTACAATGACGTTTCCAATGCGCCATCAAACATGGCGATTTGACAGGAGGGTCAAAGTAACGCAAAGATATATGGAAAGGTCGATGCTGGGTGTAACCCCGAGGGACTACATACTAAATGAAAACCTATGAAGAAGAACTGGCGTAAATGATGTGGTCAACATTGTGGCAAAGCTTGATGATAACTTAATGTAATCTAAATTATGACAGATTCGTGTGATGATAATACGTTTTCGATAGTTGGCAATTCCTCGTCTTCAACGTCCATTTCATCATCTTCCTCTTCATTTTTTTCGGAATCTAATATATTTTTACTTGTATTTTTACTTTTATACGTACTGTTTGGTCCGGATAAATACCGGGTATTTACCTAGCGCCCATCACTGTAGACAACAGAACTGTTCTTGTTGTTGTTCCTGGTAGACTAAATGCCATGAATTACATCGAAAACATCTTGGAGGACCATGTGGTGCCTGCTACATACGGCGTCGGTCAAAATTTCATCCTAATGCAGGACAATGCAAAGCCACATACCGCCGGCATCACCAGAAACTTTTTGCAAGAACGTGAAATTCAGGTCATGGAATGGCCGGCGTTAAGTTCTGACCTGAATTCTATTGAACACGTGTGGGATCAACTTCACCGACGTGTTCGCAAGCGCCTTAATCCACCATTAACCATACAGAAACTGACACAAGCCCAGATTGAGGAATGGGAAAGCATACCCATTCCTCAAGAATCTTTTCGCAAACTAGTGCGAATTATGCCATGCAGGTGTGAGGAAGTTATTCGTGTTGGTGGAGGGCATACATGTTATTAAACCTCACCAATCCACAAAAAACCAGACTGTCATCGATACTAAGAGAGTCCTATCGACTTTGTTTTGCGTTATTAATTTACATTTTTGAGTATAACTTAGAAGTAACTAAGAGTTGTAACATTGTTTTTGTAATTTTCTAAATAAACCAAATTTCATTTGCCTAGAACTATTATTTAAAAAGTTACTGATTTCGAAAAAAGTGTTTCCCTAATTTTCGGGGAACTAATTTTCGACGTTACACTAAAACCTCGATGTAACGGATTAATACGGGGAAGGCAATGTCCGTTATAGATCAATAAAAATATACAATAATCTCGCGCTGAATAACAAATAAAATTAGACTAATACTAGCACTAGAACTCACACTAGACCTAGAACTAGAAACATTCCGTTTAGCTGTACCTCTCTTAAGACGGCTGGTAGGTGATAGGTAGCGCTAGTTAGTATAAAATATCACTATGTTGCATATTTTTATTCAACTAAACTAGAACTAACACTAGTACTAGAATGTATCGGGTTTAGCCGTTTTGAGAGACGTGCGGCTCAACCTGATTGTTTCTAGTTCTCGGTCTAGTGTTGGTTCTAGTTTTACACTATCACTATCCCTAGAGCTAACACAAGACCTTGAACTAGAATCATTCGGGTTTAGCCGTCTTGAGAGACGTGCGGCTAAACCCGAATGTTTCTAGTTCTCTGTCTAGTGTTAGTTCTAGTTTTACACTAGGACTAACCCTAGAACTAACACAATACCAAGAACTAGAATCATTCCGTTTTAGCCGTCTTGGGAGACGTGCGGCTAAACCCGAATGTTTCCAGTTCTGAGTCTAGTGTTAGTTCTAGTTTTACACTAGCACTATCCTTAGAGCTAACACAAGACCTTGAACTAGAATCATTCGGATTTAGCCGTCTTGAGAAACGTGCGGCTAAACCCGAATGTTTCTAGTTCTCGGTCTTGTGTTAATTCTAGTGGCAGTGCTAGGTAGCGCTAGTTAGCATAAGATATTACTATGTTGTATATTTTTATTGAATTAAAACTAGAACTAACACTAGACTTAGAACTAGAAAGTCAGACGCACGGGTAAACCCGATGTTTTCTAGTGCTAGATCTAGTGTTAGTTCTAGTTTTACACTAGGACTATCACTGAAACTAACATAGGACCTTGAAGTAGAATCATTCAGGTTTAGCTGTCTTGAGAGACGTGCGGCTAAACCCGAATGTTTCTTGTTCTCGGTCTAGTGTTAGCACTAGTTTTACACTAACACTATCCCTAGAGCTAACACAAGACCTTGAAATAGAATCATTCGGGCTTAGCTGTCTTGAGAGACGTGTGGCTAAACCCGAATGTTTCTTGTTCTAGGTCTAGAGTTAGTTCTAGTTTTACACTAGAACTAACACAAGACCTAGAACTAGAATCATTCGGGTTTAGCAATACTAAAAGACGTGCGGCTAAACCCGAATGTTTGTAGGCTGTCGCCAACATCTCGAATTTTCTTAGTATAATTTTTGTTTAAAACTGACCAATAACAACTCTTCATTTTGGCGCTTTAATTTGAAAACACTCCTTCGAATTAAAAAATAGAGTACTATAGCTTTATTTAAAATTGTGATGGTTATAATTTATTGCTTTTAGATCATTGTATGCATCTAAGGGAAAAATCTGGTGGCGATAAAAATTTATTTAGCGTTGAAAGAAAAATGAAACGATTACAAAAAAGGCAAGAAAAAATTAATGAAAAACTCTATGAAAAAGAAAAAAATAAAACTAACGTTTTTGATTTTTTAAATGACACATTAACGTTAACAAAAAATGTTAATCAAAATAATGTACAAAATGGGAACGTTAAAGGCAATCAAAGTTTTCGGGATGAAATTAAAGGTGAAACATCGAGAAGTTTAAATGTGTCCATATTAAAAATCGAAGAAGAAGTGAAACGCATTGAACGGGAATTGTTTAAAATAAAAGATTCGTTAACGCGGCATCAAAGAGGAAGTCAGATTTATAAAAGTTTGAAGATGAAACAACATCATTGTTTACATCAAATCCAAGTTTTAGAAGAGAGGAAAAAAAATATTAAATGTGAACAGAGCGTTAGAAGTGATAAGAAGAAACTGACGATTTTTTAAGTTTTTTTTTCTCTTTACGTATTAAAAGGTAATATTAATATTTTATATTTATAAATATATAATTAGTTCAAAAAAGTATTCTTATTGATAAGTAAATATAAAAGGGTTTGTTAACATATATTTAATGAGTTTTATTGATCGATTAACAAGACAAAATTGTAAATAAACCCGATATTGCAATTTGGACATCATATTTGGGCATGAGTAAGACACACAAATATGTTACATTTTTTACAAAAATATCGTGTTTTACTGTCTTTTTTTTTGCAAAAGTAACATCTTTTTTTCACTCCAGTTGAAATCTGAGCGTTTTCTGCTTCTGTAGTACTGGTTCGTGTTGCTTCTTATCTTTGTCGCACTTCTTTTGGTAAGTTGGTTACTTGTGAAGGACGTTTGAAATGATCCTCCGTCATGGCCAATGAGAGATCCCTGAGAAACACTCTTCTTCTTGGATATGAATTGTTATTTGCAGCATGGATTATTTTTGAGCATTAATTCCAGCAATATTCATTAAATGGTAAAAAATTACCATAGGCCATCGACTAGTATTTCTGGCGACGTCGTATGTAACGCACAACTTATCATTTACATCAACTCCTCCTTTAGTGGAGTTACAAAAGAGAACAATTTTTGGTTTACCACTATTTACGTCAACAAAATCGTCATTATGCATACTTGACGCAATAATATCAGTTTTGTTCTTACGCGATATAAACGACACTACAGTAACATCTTCTTGGTAACCAAACATACTGGATTGCTCTGCTTTGTGTTTTCTGACAGTTCCCACACAAGTCAATTTATGTTCTTTCAGTAATGTTGAGATCAGTGGAAATGAAGTAAACCATTTATCTACTGCTACATTTCGACCTGTTCCTGAAATGGGAGTGATAAGTCCTCGAACAATACTCCAGGCATTAATGTCAACAGCGTAGGGCTCCTTTGGGGACGCTACAGAGATCAACAAAGCTATTGAAATTTATCGTGTAAATTTTAAATTTATGGCGAAGAATCGATCCCTGGGGGACCCCAGACCTTATCTCCAAAGTACTCGACTTCACCTGATCAATACTGACTGATTGAATCCTGCCTTTAAGGTAATTTTTAAAAAAGCTAATGAGACAGAATCAAACCCGATATGGTCAAGAATTGATATTAACAAGTCTTAGTTTAGAGTATCGAATGCTCTGGAGAAATCGAACATCCCCAGAAGAGACATTCTATTGGAGTCAGACGGAGTCCCTGAAACCAGACTGATTCACTAGAACAATGCGGTCAGCCTTCAGAAACTCCGTCAAAATGCTTATGGGTCTTAGGCATGAGTATTTGTTTGGACTTGGTACCTTTGGTGCTGGTATCACGATGAACCTTTTCCATATTGAAGGGAAAACACCTTCTAATAGACAAGTATATAATATTTGTTATATGAGGTAAGATTACAGGACAAGCCATTTCTATAAATTTAATAGCAATACGATCAGCACCCACAATATTTGATCGTATATTATGTAATTCAGCTAAAATATCACTCTCGGACACCAACTTAAATGAGAAAACAGCAGGGCCAAATTTTGCTTTACCAAAGTCATTAATCAAATTATCAACCCTACAGTGGCCATAACATTGAACTTCAAAAAGAAGTTATTTAGTTCGTCGCCGTTTTTTAAGTATTATGGACGAGAATAAACCTTACATTGTAATAAATTGTTTTTTCGCAACACTTTCCATGGGTTAGCAGAATTCTGTATACCGATACCGTGAGTAATGTAAGCACGTTTTTCACACTTAAACTGTTTGTTCCAGTCAGGCTGACATTTGGTTTTTTCAATTTTGACAGAGCTTCATCTCTTAAGTCCCGCATCAATCTAACATTATCAGTAAGCCATGGACAGCGATTCTTGGCACAAGTTACTCTCACACGGGATGCATATATGTCAATAGCTGAGATCAACAAATGATTTAGCAAGTTTACCTTGTCGTCAATGACATAATAATAAGTTTATTGAATATGCATCAAAATGTACAATATTCTCGTCAAATAAAAGTCGTAATAATAATGACAATAAAGAAAACAGGTATTCATTAGTTTATTTTCACTGCTGCAAAGTATTCGTCTATGGAGTAGAATTCCTAGACATATTCAATGTTTTGAAATGGGGTTAGATATATAGTTGAAATTTTTTTGTGATTTTTTGTTCTGTGGTATGGTAGTTTGATGTCATCTCCTTGTCTGGTGCAGTGGAGGTGAGACTCTGTAATTGTGGTTAGTGAAACCGTTTTTGTGTATATAGTCTAGACACGTAAATATATATGATGATGGTAATGTCGGTATTTTTAGAGTTTTAAAATGACCTCTACAACTCTGATTTTGTTTTAGACCTACTAGCATTCTTATCGCTTTCTTTTGTAGTTTGAAAACTTCTTTTAGGTCACTGGAAGCACCCCATATTGCTATGCCATACACCGCCATGCTATGCGAAATGCACATTTCGTGATTTAGCCGATGGTAAGTTTATTACCATTACTTTCAAACAATACATTAAAGTTGCTAGTTTCTTTTTAAGCTGAGATATGTGCTCTGACCAACTCAAGGTTTCCGTAAACACCACGCCAAGGAATTTGGTCTTTTGATTTGTAACGATCATTGGCTTTCGTACAAAACGTGAGTAACTTGGTTTTAGTTTTATTTGATTGTAATTTGTTCGAGTTGAACCACTTTTCTGCCTGAACCATTGTTGTACTAGTTTTTTTCTGAAGTTTTTCAATATCCTTTTCCACATTTATGAAAGAAGTATCGTCCGCATAAAGACAGAGTGAATCCGATGCTACAAAATCCGGCAGATCATTAATGTAGATCAAAAAGACTCCTGTTTCGACTCTCTTCCACTCCGATATTTCACCTTTCCGGTGAGTTTGTTGTTGTCGCTGATCCAGATATGAAACTATCAGGTTAAGGGCCTTATCTTTTATTCCGTAATTATTCAATTTCTTAGTAAGAATGTCATGATTTACAAGATCAATAGCCTTGCTAAGGTCACAAAGGCGATTTGAGTATATTTTTGTTCATCAAAACCTCTTATGATTACTTGTAATACATCACTGCTTAATGTATTACAAGTGTTTGTGGATTTACCTGGTTCATAACCGTGTTGGTAAGTCGTTAATAAGTTTTCATAAGTCAGATAATGAAGTAAACTCTTCTTTATGACAATTTCCAACATTTTGGACATTGTTGGTAGGACAGAGATTGGACGATAATTATTCAGGTCATTGGGATCTCCAAGTTTCTGTATTGGTATAATTTTCCCGTATTTTAGTTCTTCTGCAAAAATTTCCTCTTTGATACATTTATTGAAAATGTCTGTTAGTTGTTTAGAAACACAAGTAATAAGTTGTGTTTCTAACTTCTTTTAAGAGTTTTGTTGATAATTCGTATACAGGTCCCATGCGGTTATTATAAACATTTCGAAAAAAATTTATTAGAAACATCGCTTCAGAATAATGTATCCTACAATCGTATAATACTCTGATGCGGAAGATACCGGACACCTGTATATCCAATGTACTCGGTTTTTTCAGGTCTTTTAGTATTTGTATCAGTTCCCCTTCCTCTAAGTCCGTAATCTGATTAAGCGACGTTTTTGTTTCTTTCTGTTTCGATAGTAGAAATGAATTTGTATTATTCGAATTGTTGCTAGAGTCTAATTGCCTGCAGTTTACGAATGAGTCATTCAAAACGTTTATGTTTAAGTTAGAGGGCTTTTGCGATTTTGTTTCACCTGTTCCGCATTCTTTCTTAACAAGCTTCCAACCGACTGCGACTTATTCTCAGAACTTTGAATAAATCTACCATTTGTTTCTTTGCCACATCTATTTCTACTCTATACTTTTTTTCAAATTATTATACGTATCGTTTAGGTTGAGGTCTTGATTTACGGTTATTATTGTGTTCAAGGCATCTAACTGATTTTTCATTTTCTTTTATGTTTCTGTTTCCCATTTTTACAATTCATTTTTGAATCTTTTGTTATGATTTCAGGAAAAGGTGAATTATAGCAGTGTAGGTAGTTAGCGTGGAAATATGTATAGTTATTTTGTGCATCTGCATTTGCTACGTAAGACCAGTCACAATCTGTCAGCAAGACTTTGAATCTTTCACTATTTCTCATCGTAAAGTTGCGGCGTTTAATCGTTTTACGTTTTCTTTTTCCAGGTACCAAGCTAAAGGTCAGTATTTGAGCAAGATGGTCTCCAAGGTGAAAATTTACTGTTTCCAACTTAAGAACTAATAAGAATTTGTCAGTAAAAATATTATCAACACATCTCTTACCCCCAAGCCGGAAAGCTTCACAACATAACGGGTAAAAAATTCGCTCATTGTTATAATAAGATCATTCTTTAAAGTTGTATTTTCATTTATACAAAGATTGAAATCACCCATAATAAATATTCTTTTATTCAATTGTGTATCTGTTATATAATATAATATATCATACAATCTATGCATGAACTCATCTTTATTTATTTTTATTTATTCGTTTCGGGATGCAGACAGGTTACCCCAATAAAGCATCCACTAAACTTACAAACAAAATACAGATATAACATAATAAGTCCTAAACTATAAAGCTAAACAGACATGAAAGAAAAAAAACAAAAATACAATCCAAAAGCAACAACTAAAAGTAAATTTCAACTCAAAATTTCAGTCAATGTTGGGAAGCAACATACAGTTCTTTTTAAACGACACAAAAGAATAATTAAAAATATCAATCGACTGGCAAACTTTATTATAACAATTTAATATACGCAGGATAGGCGAATTAGTATACGCATTAGACACCGAAGGAGGTATTCTAAACAAAAAACTATCGCGAGTGCGATATTGCGGGACATTAAAACTAATTAAAGATAAGAGTTCTGGGTTATCAATAAGCCCGGTAACCAGTTTATACAGGGTGATTCATAAGTAATGGGCCAAATTGTAAATGTACGTTCAGGAGGCCAAAATAATAATATTTTCATTAACAATAATGGGTCTTAGTCTGCTCCTTACTGAGATGCAGGATGTTAAAGCGAAAACAATAAAATAGATTTTTGTTAATAGATCAGCTACTTTTCTACATAATGACTCATAGTTGACTTATAGTTTTTGTAAGGGTAAACAATAATGTGTGAGAGGATTTGAGTTAACTCGTAGATGTCGCCACATGCGCCATATGAATTATGAAACGTCAATGAGCTTTTACGTTTAATGAATAGTTTAAAACATTTTATTGTTAAGTAAACTGATTCATTCTTGTCCTAACATAAATCAAAATGCCGAGACATAATCACTTTTCAAACGAAGAAATGAGAGACATGTTATGCGTTTACGCACAAGAACGTTTTTCTGGGCAAGCAGCATCCAGAAAATATCGTGAAATGTACCCTTACAGAAGGCAGCCAAACCGGAAGATATTTCAAAATATTTATAATCGATTGGGTGAAACAGGTTCATTTCGTCCAAAATATCATACAGGACGTCCTAAGATTATCACTCCGCAGCAAGAAGATGAAATTTTGGTAAGAATTGCGCAAAATTCTGAAATAAGCACTCGTCGATTGTCTGCAGCAACTGGAATAAGCCAACCATCCGTGACTAGAATTTTACACAAGGAAAATTTATATCCCTATCATTTTATACCTGTGCAAAATTTACTTCCAACAGATTATCGAATCAGAGTTCAATTTTGTCAGTGGCTAAAAGGAAAATTGAATAATAATCCAACATTCCTAAATAACATTCTTTTCACGGATGAAGCAACCTTTACCAGACGCGGAGTTTTTAATTGGCGAAATAGTCATGCCTGGGAAACCGAAAACCCTCGTTTAAAAAAAGATAGACATTTCCAGCACGAGTTTAAAATAAATGTGTGGTGCGGTGTAATAGGCAATACATTACT